CCAGCCACTGAGCTACAGAGCAGACTCCCAGGAAATTTCATCTCACCTGACCAGCAAGATACACCTGAAACCTCTGGGCAAAGTGGCTTAGAAAACGTGGTTCCAGGATGGACGTCCCTGCCATGCAGGGTGGAGTGTGGAAGGAGCCTACGAGGTCAGAGTGCCAATCACAGTTACTGTACAAGTCCAGCCCAGGAGGGCCTCATGCAGCTGAAGAGGGAAGCAGCCTTGTCTGGACACAGGAAGACGAGCTGAATCACACCTGCTAGAGTTAAAGGGTGGAGCAGAGGGATCTGGGTTTCAGGGAATTCTTTTATCATCATCACCATCATTGTCTGTGTGCTTGAGAGCACGTGTCTGTGTGTATGTGTGTAATGTCTGTGTGCTTGAGAGCACGTGTCTGTGTGTATGTGTGTAATGTCTGTGTGCTTGAGAGCACGTGTCTGTGTGTATGTGTGTAATGTCTGTGTGCTTGAGAGCACGTGTCTGTGTGTATGTGTGTAATGTATGCAAGGGCAGATGGGCAAATGCATGTCACAACTTGCATGTGGCAGTCTCAGGAGTCAGTCCTCTCCTTTCACCCTGTGGGCCCAGGGATTGAATTTGGGCTGTCAAGGCTGCAACACAAGCACTTTTGCCTGCAGAGTTTCTGGCTGGACCCTCAGGCAATTCTTAAAAACAAACAAGGCAGGCGTGGTGGCTCATGCCTTTAATCCCAGCACTCGGGAGGCAGAGGCAGGTGGATCTCTATGAGTTCAAGGCCAGCCTGGTCTACATAGTGAGTTCCAGGGCAGCTGGGGCTACAGGGAGACCCTGTCTCAAAAAAACAAAACAAAACAAAAAACACAAGAAAATCTCCCTCCCTCCCTCCTTCCTTTCCCCCCTCCCTTCCATCCTTCCCTCTCAGTTGAGCAAAGAAAAACCCTGAACTTAGACTGTATCTGCAATTTTTCTATATACATACTAGTTGAATCTACAAGTTTATAGTACTTGAATACATCAACCTCATTCTGTCAACAAGACAGGAGTCAGAATTCTCAGCCCCTGCATCCGGGTCCCATCATAGTTGTCAGAAGTGACTCTGATAACAGGCATCCAGTTTGGTGGCTTCCTGTGAGCTGGGATAAGCTGACCTGCTTCTGGCTCATTGGTTCTAATGGCCTGTCCTGGTAACTTGTTTTGGTTCCGATTTAACCTTGTGGAACTGTCATAATCCCAAGGCAAGCCTCAAAGTTTCTATGGGGTAGGGGCGTGGGTATCTGTGACTCTGTTTCACGGGCCACTAGGATTGCTCTAGAAGTGATGTTTGTAGCTGAGACTCATTCTACAGTGATTAGGAGTGGGCCCAGGAGCCGGATGGCCAGGGTTGGAGTCCAGACACCACAAGACTAGAGTCTGAGCAAGGTACATGGAGGCATATCTGTGCCTCAGTTTCCTCACGAGGGTGACTGTAGTATTTAAAGCAGAGAGACTGTGAGCAATAATGGGAGAGCATCTAAAAAGCACTTTGAGTAATGTTCGGTGCACCATTCCCCATAGACTATCATTACACTCTTTATTCCTGGGTGTCTGGCAGAGGAGGGGAGAAAATACTTTTTAGGGGTTTTTTATAGAAATGAATGGTTTAAATTACACTGTATAGTTACTAGTGGGCTTTGAAGTGGGAAGCTGGAGACTGGAATGTTTGCGTCCTCTCAAGGCTGTGATTCCTTTTAATATATATATTTTTTAAC